CGGCAGGAGCTTTGGCTGGAGGAAGCTCCTCATCCACCAGAGCTGTGCCCTCTTGTGCAGCCAACTCAGCCACACAGGAAGGAGCCTTTGCAAAGCTGTTTTCCCAGAACAAGGGTCAGGATGGCTCTGCTGGCGGCTGGGGCGCTCCAGGTGGGACAGTGAAGCCAGCAGGAATTAGATGCAGGGCAACTGGGCAGCCACTGGTAAAGATAGGCCGCCATTTATTTAACGCTCGACACAATGAGGATGGCACCGCCAGTCCATGGAACACTACGCAGATGTGGGAATGAGGAGACGAGTGGTGAACTAATATGGGACATCCTCTCAGGCACACTGATAGGAACTATGCCATACTACACTGTAGGAAAAAAGAGGAAAATTTGCTGGGTGGTAGCGGCGGCGCAGGCCTTTAATCCCAGCACTCGGGAGGCGGAGGCAGTTGGATCTCTGTGAGTTCGAGGCCAGCCTGGTCTACAGAGCAAGATCCAGGACAGGCACCAAAGCTACACAGAGAAATGTTATCTTGGAAAAAAACCAAAAAAGAAAAAAAAAAAAAAAAGGAAAATTCTTCACATGCACATATAACATATGTATAGAGAACACAGTAGTTTAGTATGGGGCCCTGGGTTCAATCCCTATCACAGTCCCTGGTCAACTTACTGTCTACTCTCTCTAGATGGGGATTACCTGAAGGAAGGTATGCCAGACTCAAAGTAGGTCTCTCTCTCTCTCTCTCTTTCTCTCTCTCTCTCTGTTTTTTATTTTTTGAGACAGGTTTTTTCTGTGTAACAATCCTGGCTATGCTAGAACTCCTTCTGTAGACCAGGCTGCCTGCCTTTGCCTCCCAAGCACTGGGATTAAAGGCATTCACTACCACCAGGTGGTAAAAGACAGGTTGGCTTGAAACTTACTGTATAGCCAAGGATGGCCTTGAACTCCTGATCCTCCTCTACCTAAGTGCTGGCATTACAGAGTGTCCTGCTTTTTGGTCTTTGACTTTTAAAATTCAGGAATGGTCATCACCAAGAAAGGAACCCCATGCCAAGCTGGTTTAGGGACCCAGCTCTGGCTTCCAGGGCCATTCCTGTGAATCCATGGCTTTGTTCCTGTGGACTGGTGTCTGTTTCATTGGTAGGCCTACCTCAGCTTCTGACTGCTGCGATCACAGGACACACCACAGTGGATTTTTTTTTTCTGAGGTTATAGGTGTCTCTCACCATTAGTCAGGCCTTTATCCTTTGCCCAAAGGCTCTCTTGGCATCTGGTTCCTCACGTTGACTGGGCATGAATTTACTGTTTTTTTTTGTTTTTGTTTTTCACAGCTGCTTACCATAATGTCAGCTTTCATTTCCCTGTTACTTCTCCCTAAGAAAGAAGGGGGGCTTCGAGGTGTCACAACTTCAGGGCTTGCTCCTGAAAAGGCCCTGGGTCTCCGATTTTTGGGTCACCCGCTTGGGTCTAGCTGCTGGCAGCTGGATGGCGACTCCATCGACTCAGTCAGTGTGGCTCACCAGATGTAGGTGTTTTCTGGCAAGTGCGGCACCTGGTCAAGGCTTTGCCCGTTGTCAGCATTTCCTGCTTGGGGAGGGGAGGGGAGGGGGCCCCCCTTTAAAGCCACACGTTTAAAACTGAAACCAGAGTCTAACGGCTGGCTGCCACCAAGTCGGGGCCCTACCAACTGTGGGGTTCCAGTTCCTCCTAAACCCTGTCTGGGGAAGTTCAAGGCCATCGGTGCTCAAGGAGGCCAGCTTCTGGCAGTATCCAAATCTGGATTAGTTTTGTCTCTATAAAGCAGTTTTGGCCTCTGCCTCTCTGCCTCTTCCAAGGCCTTTTCTTTTCATCCTTCACATTTAAAATCTAGCCAAATACTGTAGAGTACATTCAAAGGTGAAAGGGACCAGCGGGCGATCCCGTCTCCCTCCAAGGAAGTGAGTCAGATGCATTGCCCCATTTCCTTTGGAAACCTCAAGAGAGGGTAGGCATGTACCTTACGGGCCAGGCAGGTAAGGCTAAGGGGAATAGCTCTCTGGGGGGTGGGTCCTGTGAGAGCTATGAGATCTCAGCGTCCACTCACCAGTAGGCTGCCCTCTCCAGCCTCTGTTTGCTTTCCTTGTTTCTTTGGGTTTTGTTTGGGGGAGGGGAGGAGAGGAGGGTGTGTGTGTGTGTGTGTGTGTGTGTGTGTGTGTGTGTGTGTGTGTGTGTGTGAAGGTCAGACGTAAACGTTGGGTGTCCTTTCTTTGGAGAAACTGTCCTTGCTGTTTTTATTTGTTCCTGTCATTATCACATGCCTGGAGCTTACCATGTAGGCAAGGCTCAGCTGTGTCCGACTCCCCAGCCCTGAGATGACAAGACTGTGCCGCCCCGCCTGATGTTTACGGGGGTGCTGAACCTGAACTCAGAACCCCATGCTTGTGTATTGAGCATTTTTCTGAGCTGTCTCCTCAGCCCCTGCTGATTGTTCTTGGAGACAAGGTTTTCCTAGGCAGCCCAGGTCAGCCCTGGACCCCTAGCAGTCTAGTGTCCTGGTGCGGGGGTTTCAGGCAGCTGCCGCCACACTTGGCTGTGTTTGTTTGTTTTCAGAAACAGTATCTCATAGCTCAGGCTAGCTCGAAATTCATTTGTAGCCAGGCATGATCTTGAGCTGTTGATCTTGCCTCT